CATCGAATATCGACATCCCTTGTCGGGGACCATAGATTTTGAGAGGTTTGTCCCGATATCCATTGTCCAAAACAGTGGATTTTGAAAGTTCCTTTCAACCTCCCTTGTCAAGGACAACAAATTATTCAAAAGGTTCTGTCGATATCTGTTGTCAACCGTAACAGATTTCGATGGTGCCTATTGATATGAATTGTGCATAGCAACAGACGTTGAACGGTTTTCTCTGAAGCCATTGCCACTGGGTTCATGACATGTCATCGATATACATCGTTTACAGTAGATTCTTGAGCGGGCTACCGATATATATCGAAACGCAACATCGATAGTCGTTATCTCGAGCAATCTGTCCTCAAGGTCGTAAAGGATATCCACTTGCACGAGAACATGTTCGAAGGCTTCTTCTAATACTGCCCGCAATGTCTATCGGAAGGAAGCCTTCGAAGTCTGTTGTTGCCAACGATGTCTATCGTGACATTCGACAGGCATTTCAATTTGCAATAGATTGCACAAGTCATCTGTCAATAGGCTCGGTCTTTGGCAATAGTGCGAGAAATCCAGCGACCGATCACCCTTACCGACGGCAATATACTCGTCTATGTAGCAGCAGAAATAGAAGCCTACCTGGTACACGGTCTATTTCGTGGTGTGGTAGGTAGCATCAGCTCACCAACCACGGCCGTCACACACGATCGGTACCAGCATAAAAAACAAATCTCATGGGGCCCTGGACGGTGGCACTGTTCAAAACCAAGCTCACCAGCCACGGCCGCCAAACACGATTGATGTGTTTGGTCCCGGCATAACCTAATCTGCGTGAATCGCTCCATGCGACAACCGGGGTTAAGTAGCGCTCAAACATAAAGCTCACCACCACGGCCGCCAAACACGATTGATGTGTTACGTTCCGGCATAAACTGATCTGAAGAACCGCCTCATGCGACAACCCTGGTAGGTTGCTACAATGGACCACGAGTGACAACATCGAATATCGACATCCCTTGTCGGGGACCATAGATTTTGAGAGGTTTGTCCCGATATCCATTGTCCAAAACAGTGGATTTTGAAAGTTCCTTTCAACCTCCCTTGTCAAGGACAACAAATTATTCAAAAGGTTCTGTCGATATCTGTTGTCAACCGTAACAGATTTCGATGGTGCCTATTGATATGAATTGTGCATAGCAACAGACGTTGAACGGTTTTCTCTGAAGCCATTGCCACTGGGTTCATGACATGTCATCGATATACATCGTTTACTGCAGTAGATTCTTGAGCGGGCTACCGATATATATCGAAACGCAACATCTGTTGGAATATTTGGCACTACCGTAGCTTCAGCATTAGGTAGTCTGGTTGACTAGTTCAAATATTGTCAATGTCGCTATGTCATGTAGTAGGTAAAATTCCGTCTGGTCTGTCATACTCGGAATATGAGACATGGTTGATGTTCTGTGTTTCATATCCAGAAATAATCTGCATAGCCTAGATTTCCAGAAATATGTCATAGTGCAAGTAGCTCAGACTTGCGTGCTTGAATGAACAAATATTTGTCTGCGCTCAGCAGTCGAATTTGGAAAGTACATTATTAGTTCAATTGTTGAAGCTGTATTCTGCGGTTTGTCGTACGTCAGTGCAAGTAATCACTTGTGCGTGCAAGTACAATACTTGATGTGCATACGTGGCACAAGTTCGAGAGCATGGTGTTGAAGTAATCTTTCCAGAAACGTATCGTAGCTTACCAGTACCGTATTCTGAACACGTGTGATTGGTCGACGTTGTCGGATAGGTGTGATTCCATGATTTCGAGGATGACCGCGTACTCGCCCCATCCTCTCACTCTGCTTCTCTGGGGGTTTCTCCAACCCTCTGCTTATTTGGGGTTTCTCAACCTCTCTACTTCTACGGGGTTCACTACCCCTCTGTTTCTCTACATTCTTTCTGGTCTCCACTGATCAAGTAATTACATTTCCACCACACCATCTTCTTCTCCTTCGGACCTTCCTGCGTACTCAGAGCCAAGCCTCTCGTACGAAAGGGTCCAGCGGCACAACAAGTGAGTTGGCACCCCGCGCTGCAGCCGTACAGGACACGTACAGGCTTACACGCAGCACTTGAGTTTTTGCCTTTGACCTGTGACTATAAGATGGCACAATCGGGTGCTCTGCTTATGTACATCAGTGGTCATTGCTGCATACGCACGTTCTACTTGCGCGACACACTGCGGAGAGAGCACGCACCAACTCAAGAGTAAATTAGGACTACCCTTTTTGACGACAAACAACAACACCTTTTCGAGAGCCGATACGGGTCGTCAACACCCACAAGCCTACATCCCCAAGAACATCGATAGTCGTTATCTCGAGCAATCTGTCCTCAAGGTCGTAAAGGATATCCACTTGCACGAGAACATGTTCGAAGGCTTCTTCTAATACTGCCCGCAATGTCTATGGGAAGGAAGCCTTCGAAGTCTGTTGTTGCCAACGATGTCTATCGTGACATTCGACAGGCATTTCAATTTGCAATAGATTGCACAAGTCATCTGTCAATAGGCTCGGTCTTTGGCAATAGTGCGAGAAATCCAGCGACCGATCACCCTTACCGACGGCAATATACTCGTCTATGTAGCAGCAGAAATAGAAGCCTACCTGGTACACCGTCTATTTCGTGGTGTGGTAGGTAGCATAAACTCACCAACCACGGCCGTCACACACGATCGGTACCAGCATAAAAAACAAATCTGCGTGAATCGCCCCATGCGACAACCCTGGCAGGTGGGACTGTTCAAAACGAAGCTCACCAGCCACGGCCGCCAAACACGATTGATGTGTTTGGTCCCGGCATAACCTAATCTGCGTGAATCGCTCCATGCGACAACCGGGATTAAGTAGCGGTCAAACGTAAAGCTCACCACTACGGCCGCCAAACACGATTGATGTGTTACGTTCCGGCGAAACTGATCTGCGCGAATCGCCCCACGCGACAACCCTGGTAGATAGCCATGTTCAGAAACGACAAGCTCACCAACCACGGCCGCCAAACACGATTTGTGTGCTTGGTTCTGGCATAAACAGACTGCGTGAATCGCCCAAGGCGACAACTCGAGGAGGTATGTAGCGCTGTTGCAAAAACAAGTCCATCAACTCCGGCCGCCACTCTCTACTCATGCGTGTGGTTCCGGCTGTTACGCTCTCTATGTCTGTGCGTGAATCGCCCCCGGCGACAACTCTCGTAGTTAGCGCTTGATGAAATCAAAACAAGTACACCAACCACGGCCGCCACACACTGTTCATGTGTATGGTTCTGGCAGTACTCTCTGTACCTGTGCGTGAATCGCCCCACAGGCAACAACTCTCGTAGGTAGCACTTGTTGAAAACAAATATATCCACCGACTCCGACCGCCACCCCTACTCATGCGTGGGTTTCGGCAGTTACATTCTCTGGAAAGACTCCACTTCCTGTCAGCTCCATAGGCTGGCACACCGCTAGAAGCCTTCTATGTGACCACCTCGCTAGTTGTCTCTACAATACTCTCTCTCTGGCACGCTAAGACTCTGTGGACACAAGGCTTGAACAGAATGGTAACCTATGCGACTCCTCCTCTCGACCGAGGGGGGCCCGCAGTACGCAATGCGTTCCGGGTACCCCAATATAAACAGTATGGGAATTCGAGTTGTTTCAATAAACCTCGGTTTGTTTTGTCTACGCCTTTGTCTACGCCTTAAACAAACCTGCCCTAGTAAATATATATACAAGGGTCCCCTGCGGGAGGTAGGTGATTTGCCTCCCGGGGGCGACGAAAGAGGAAATGGCCAACCAATGCCATCGCGGTCGCATGGTTGGTCGACATAACGTCCGGTAGTGCCGGGTTGCGTGCAACCTGCATACTAATAAGTTGCCCGGAATTTGCATCATATGTGCGGGGTATTTTGTTTTCTCCCGCCGTGACTTTCCCTTGAGCACCGAGTGAGTGGTTTTGGCTAGCGGTTTTCTGCAGGTCGTGCACTGCTGTAATCCGCTGCGTTTGATCACTTTCTCTTCTTGTTGTGTGATCGTGTTTCCCATGGTCTGTGGGACCTTTTCACGCATACACCAACAACAACAGATCAAAGACCTACCGCCGTACCAAACTAGTATGGTTGACTTTTTTTATTCTCGGAATTGAAATGTACAAATTTACCGCTGCTAGAGTTGTGCGAGAAGACTTCTGTGTCGCGTGGAGTGTCCCCATGGGCATCAAGAGTCTTGACCCCCGCTGTGGGTACGCATGCTCTAGTTGCCGTGTGGTGGTTGTGTGCACAACACGCACAGCAGCAGGTGTGTGTGTGTGTGGGTGCGTGGGAGCGTGGCGCGTGGCGCGGGGTAAAAGAAAAGTTCTGTTTTCAGTTTTTGTGCCGGTCGAGGAGGCGTTTATGGTTCGGATTCCCAACCCCTGAAAAAACAGCCCAGTCCCAGCGACTTATAGGCGGCCCTAACTCGCACCACCGGTCGGTGTCTCGCGAGCCCCACACGTAACGGGTATGTACCGACGGGTCCTCTGCGTGCCATGCAGAAGAAAGTGCGAGAAAAATCGCTGATCCAGCGGAGAGAAACGACCGCGAGACCACCAAAAAGGTCCAAATGATACATACATACAAGGGCTCCGGACGCGCGGGGCTACCGCCCCCCCCGTCCTTCGTTTTTGCGGTGGATTATGCGGAGAGTATAGACGTGGAGCTTGTGAGGGAATTGCAGGCGTTGAAACGAATACCAAGTGGGACCGGTCCATGTGGTCAGGAGTGGAGCCGTGAAGGCAGGTCGCAACCTCCCCGTCCTTCGTTTTTGCGGTGGATGATGCGAGTAAAGACGTGGAGCTTGTGAGGGAATTGCAGGCGTTGAAACGCATACCAAGTGGGACCGGTCCATGTGGTCAGAATGCGATGTATTATTTTCCCGAAGGAGTGGAGCCGTGAAGGCAGCTCGTTAAAGACGAAAGGAAAAACATAACAAACTGAAGATTTGACCGGAACTATTCTTCGGCGCTACGCGTGTACAAACACACAATCTCGATATGCGAGATTATCGGACTCGCATGTGATACTCAGGCTCAACTCTAGCCAGGAACTCTCTATAACTCGAATGTGATACTCTATCAGGCTCAAATACTGTTGGCAACGACGGTACAATCTCGATATGCGAGATTTTCGGACTCGAATGTGATTATCAGGCCCAACTCTAATAATGTGATTATCTAGTCTATAAGGTCAATGTGATACTCTAGAAGGCTTAATCTACGCCGGCACTAGTCATGTACAGGTAAACACATGGCAGTGTCAACTCGAATGTGATACTCTATCAGGCTCTTAAAAAGGAAACAACGCAGTGTCAACTCGAATGTGATGATACTCTATGAGGTCAATGTGATGCTTTAGACGAAAGGGCAATCTAGGCCGGAACTGTTCTTCGGCGTACTGTAGCGAAGGCGTCATCCTGGGCAGAACTAAACACGAAATCGAAGGTCAGACACTGAGATGGCGTGCCTGGCGTTTACACGGCTACACACGTAACATGAAATGGCTACATACGTGTTGCAAAGGCAGAGACATGTAACACTGAGAGCAACACCGAAAGACACAGACTGAGAGCAACACCAAAAGACGCAGAAAAACGAAGGTCAGTCTTTAACGCAGCGTGCGTGTCGTTGATGGTGTACTTGCGGGCTGTTGGACAGCGTTTTGCCTTGGTAGGAGGAGCATCGTTGCAGGAAGAAGACCTGAGGTGGTGAACAGTTGGGAAGGTTTGTTGAATGATGGGGTGATGTTAGTGTTTGCAGGAAAAGGTCATGATTGTGGCGGGTGTATAACAGTGAAAGTATCGTAATGCTTTGAGGCAGTGTTGTATTTCAAGAATAACTCGTGATGGTTAGCGACGTGAGGAGGTGGCAGTGTTGATGAGTCGAAATGGACGTTGATTGGGCTACCGTATATGTGGGTGGCGGCGAAAATTTCCGGTTGGCCCATGTACGTTTCGGGAGATATTTTTGTGGAAATATTAGCGCGTCGCATGAGCAGAGGGCAGGTGTGGTTGTACACTGTGTACCAACTCTTTTACGCTTGCCAACTACTGCTGTTGCGCTGCTGCTGAGGATCTATCACACAGACATGGTCCTGCTGTTGGCACGAGGTTGCGCAAGTAAGTGTGAAAAAAGAGAGAAAATAATGAGATGCGAGGATCTATCACACAGACACACATGTCCTGCTGTCATTCGGCACTCACCGGAATAGCCCCGGCTATCAGTTTCGCCGGTGTCCGTTCCCAGCGATGGTGTCCCGCCGACGTCCTTCAGGCACAGACTGCACTCGTGGGGGTGGTCCTGGCTGGGCTTGAGCAGTGAAAGGGACACCTTGCACGAAGTTTCGTCCTTCCAGATATTCTGATCGCAAGTCAAGAAATCCCCTCCGTTCTTTTTCTTGACGACCTTGAGGAGGCCGTCGGTGCTGTTGTCGTCGGGACACGGCCACCCCTCAACGCCGAGCGTCAACAGTGCGCGCGGCTTCACGATCGGCGCGGAGGCTTGTTGTTGCTTGCGCTTGAGTGGGGAGGCCTTGGACAGGGTGTTCATGACTTGAGGCTGCTGTTCGGTTTCTGGGGGTGCGCTGCTGTCGGGGGTGAGATGTGGGCGTCCTAGATCTATCCACACCCTGGACAATAGACCATGAATGTTCTATTGTTGCAACAATAGATCGCGGGGAGAAATATCGACAACCGTTATCAGCTACAATAGATATCAGGAGGCTCCATTGACATACATTATCATCGACAATAGAAATTGCAAAAGTAATGTCAATGTCTATTGCTATCGACAATGGCCTGAAGGAGTTTCTATCGATGTCCATGGCGAGCAACAATGGGCTAGAGGGGTTTCTTTCAATGCCCATTGCGAATAACAATGGGCTAAGGGAGTTCCTATCGATGTCCACTGCAAACGACCATGGACTGGAGGGGTTTCTATCGATGCCCATTGCGAACAACAATGGACTCAAGGAGTTTCTATCGATGTCCACTGCAAACGACAACGGACTCAAGGAGTTTCTATCGATGTCCACTGCAAACGACAATGGACTGGAGGGGTTTCTATCGATGCCCATTGCGAACAACAATGGACTCAAGGAGTTTCTATCGATGTCCACTGCAAACGACAATGGACTGGAGGGGTTTCTATCGATGCCCATTGCGAACAACAATGGACTCAAGGAGTTTCTATCGATGTCCACTGCAAACGACAATGGACTCAAGGAGTTTCTATCGATGTCCACTGCAAACGACAATGGACTGAAGGAGTTTCTATCAATGTCCACTGCAGGCAACAATGGGCTAGAGGGGTTTCTATCGATGCCAGCGACAATGTCGGTTGCGGCATTTAATGGTCTGGAGTATGCCATCGAACAGCAGTGCACAAGCTGGGCTACACAGCAGTAGTTTTCCACACCCTGGACAAGACACCATCATCGACACATGGTTTCGTAACGTACTCTCGCGTGTATTAATCGATTCTCTCGTTGCAACTTAGCCACATGACTTGTGGCTGCTGCTGCTGTACCGACCAAGTACCCTGGTCATTTGGCAACGCGCTTCGCCCCACTCGACGCCGTTCGCAGCAACAAAGAGGTCGAAAAAAATCGTTAATCGCTTTGATCTCTGGGCTACACACTTCTCCGGCTGCCCAACGCATCCCATCTCTGCACCTCTCGGGGGCGGGGGGGGAATCATTTCGCAACCCTGGAGAAATACCCCCCGCACGGTTGTGATGTAGTTGATACTGTTGCCAGCCATAGTTTCTCTACAAGCCGTCGGTCGGCTCGTCGATCACTACGGGCTCCGGGACAAAGTCCATCACGACGACTTCATCCAGCATTCCCTTGTCTGTGAAACGAGTCGGTAGGGCGGCCTCCAACTCGGGCTCGGTCATTTGCGAGATGTCTTTCGGGATGTTGTCGAACTGGCCTCGAAGGTACGTGACCATCTCAAGGTAGACGGGGCCGAGACTGCCGCGCTTGCACGGTTGGTACAGGTCGGCGATGCAGAAGTCGCGCTCCATGATGCCCGCAGAGGAAGGGGCACCGAACACCGCCTGGGCCAGGGCCCGAAGGGCGGACGGCCATTGCTTGCCGTGAGCCCGCCAGTACTCAACGCCGCTCAGCTGCTTGTCGTCCTTGTTGAACTGCAACGCAAAATGGAAAATAGACGTGGGGGAGTACGGCGAGGGTCAAAATTGATGATGAGGTGTCGTTGTGAGAGCGAAGTTGTGTTGCCATGCATGCATCGAGGTGGGGTGATTCATCCTCCCACCAGTGAAAACTTGAAAAACTTGTTGGTATCGTACCTCCTGGCATGTACACGGATGTTGTTCAATACAAACACACCAAATACTGGATCTAGTACACTCCAACCGCGAAACGTTGTGGTGTGTGCGCAGTCAACCCTTTCCGAAGAAAGAACACACTCAGCTACGAGAACAACTGCAATCTAATACAGAAACCCCGCACCTTGAAGACACGCCACTTGGTGAGGATGCCGTCGGCTTCCTGTTCAGGAGTGTTGGTGTGGTCGCTCGCGGGTTCCGCGTCTTCGTCGCTGCTGGAGTCTAGGACTCCCTCTTGCGCGAATTCCGCTTGGCGCGGATCGACGGCGACGCTGCCAGCGGTTTTCAACCGCTTCGCCCTCGGCTCCGGTTCCACCACGATGGGAGTCTTCTTTTCCTGTTCTCTGATGAAGGCGATGCCTTTGGCGAGAAGGTCGCGTGCTTGGTTCTTGATCACCTGCTTGACCTTGTCCGGCTCCTTGAACCCTCCCATCGGTCCGACGGTAGATGCTTCGAGAGTGTCGATGTACTTCATACCTCGCGCCGAGGGACAGAGGAACATCGCCATGTCGAAACGGTGACTGTGGGTCCCAAGCCCGCTGCCGTAGCGCCCCTTCACAAACCGTTTCGCAACGGCCTCTGCAAAAGCCTCGCGAGTAGCCATCGCGACCTTCGTGAGGTCTGTGTGAGGTCCAGTCGAAGCCGCAGGCACTTCGTCCTCCTTCTGCCCGATCGCCCGAACGGGCGTCACCGTCAGCGGGCGCATCGGCTCGAGGGTGGAGGTCGCGAGGACAACGAGTCGTTGTAGCCCACCCTGCGCGGTTGATTCGTAGGTAGTCTGGCTGTAGACGACGACTGCCTTCACGGCGTTGATGATCGTGTACACCTCCTCCACCTGAAATCAGAATAACAGCAGTGGGTGGACGGGCAATACACGTGGTCGTTAGCTAACTCTGGAACAAGACACAACGTTCAAACCACACAGAGGGAGGAGGGAAGGGGACGGGAGCGGGGAGCGTACCGATTTGTTGCACTTATGGTACAATTGTGACCGTTGACCACCCGCACATCAACGAGGAAGGAAACAGCCCGGGATATTCCTATTGGAACACCCTCGCATCGCGTATGTTTGCACCCATTTGCACCTACTTGCGTTCATTTTTCGGAGGCAGACTGACCAGGAGAAACACACATTACGATACACCTTGATAGAAAAATATGTCGAGCTTGGCCAGCTGTCAAACGCACAACAGCAGGATACACAATCCACAGGGCGCATTCGGAGGGCCACTAAAGACCCGCGAGTCAACATGCTTCAGGCACTACGATTTCTGCATTCCAGGGAGCGAGCCAAAAACTTGGTGCAAAAGTACCCCGCTTTGCTCACAACAAAGCATGGTGAGGCATATGCGAACCCTAAGCTAGAACAAACACGGCCGCCAAATGAAGCGTACTAACAGCGCAGGGTTTTGGTCCGGGAGGGGCAGCGCCAGAACGTCGGGTAACATGGATATGGTACAGCATACCAATGATGGCTCTACAGACGTATATATTTAGACCACATACTGATGGCTCTATCGACGTATATCGTTAGGTGTATTTCTTCGTCGTGCATCCCCACACTAACGATAACACAACAAAAAACAGAATGGCGCCCAAGAGGTGATTGACAGCACGGGGGACGTGACGCGCAAAAACGTAGTCAACATACCTCCTTTTTCCTGCTCCTCAAGGGGAACTCCTTGTCGCTGTCGAGGTAGATCTTCTTGAGGGCATCCCACCTCTCCAGGACTCGCAGTAGCATCTTGCAGATGCTGATCCAGCGCTGCGCAACGGCTTGCGACAGCTTTGCGGTTGACCCCTTCCCTTGGGACATCTCGTCGATGATTTCCTCCAGGGCGATCTGCAACCCCGGGATTGAAAACCAAATGGTCAGAGAAGTCAAACGAAGAACATGTTACTACGCATCAATGAATCGCGTGCTCAGCGGATGATACGTCAACTTATATTTGGGCAGTTCATGAACTAACTAATGCGGTTGGTGTGCGCACGACAACGAACGTGTACGGGTGGCAGAAGGCACCAACATGCGAGGTATATAGGAATGGGCGCATTTGGGCGGCATCTCCGCAGGTGGGGAGCTTATTCCCTTATTTCTCTATGAAACACACCAGATTCCAACCCCACGGGAAGATCTGCGAAAGAAACTGTTGACACTCTACGTGTTCGTTGATGTTGCCTGACAGACATGCAGAAGCGATCAAAAGGATAAATCAGGCAGGATGCAAAACACGAAAAGAAAAACCTCGACCATTGCCTGTAATTGCGCTAGTTACAGGAAGAGGGAGACTGCCCGTCCCCTCCGGCTACCTTAGACAGGCAGGGAGGGCGTCATTCTTCGAATTGTTACTTCAGGCGCGCATTTCCCGGCTGCCCCAATGTATTCTCATAGGGTCGAGACTATTCTCGAGGGCGAGGCCTGCCACCTCATAATCTTGGCGATTACTATGCACGCCACACGGAACCATCCGCAAGAGTTGGAATTCGAGTACACAGCAGTTTGGGAAGGATACACGGTAGCTAACCTTGTCGGCGGCGGACTTGTTGAAGTGTCCAACTATCCCCTTGATCAGTTCGAGCAAGTCGCGACAGAGGGGGTTCTTCGACTTTTCCTTGACCTGCGTCATGCCCGTTCCGTCGATAGTAGCACGGTTGAGAGCATGCGGCAGGCACCACTCCCAAGGCCACGCCTGCGACACGCCTTTCCGGACGTCAGATCCGGCATCCGTCACCGCACCGGCGATGTCCTCGTCTCGGATACCATGCTGTCCTAGCACTTGGCGCACCCACTTGCACACCACGTCGCCGGTTTGCGCCCCCGGAGGTCGAAATCCCCTGATAGCGAGGAGATGTGTCTTGACGTTCATCTTCTCGTCGAGGTAGAACACGCGGACACCTGAGGAAATACGATATCGTGTATATCAACCACGATCGCCGTTAGAGCATGATTGCCAATGATGGATGAGAGTCTGAATAACGGCGAAGGCTCGGATCTTGCAACACATTCGTACAACGAGCATGGAACGACCTAAAGCAAACTCCTACAGTCATTCCCGCTTAAAGACACACGGAAAGTTTCTGTAAAATTCCGGGGATGATAACTTACCATCCCCGGGGTCAACGGCGGCGTACCATACTTCAAAAGACGCGCAATTGCAGCAGGGACACTAACACGAAGCGAAAACAACGTGGTGGTGGATTAAAGCTGTGCGTACATAGTTGCAACAGCGCTGTCAATGATTTTGCACGTTGTCATTTTTGTTGTGGTTTTTTTCTCTGTTGCTTTGGCGTCGTCCCCAAGTGCAAAACCTTGCCGATATGCATATAGTCTATATCATCACCAACCCCCCCAAAAAGTAGAAAGGCAACCATCGTTGCAACCCCGATACGATCCTGTACACCGCCTGCGCCACCGGCTACATTCCAAACAGGAAAGGAGCAAAACTGTACCTGAAACGAACTACAATTATTGTCGGAGCACCCACAACGCAATTAAAAAATAATGTAAGAGTAATTTGCGGCAAAAGAGAAGAGTCCATCGCTCCTGCCCAGAGGTCGAAATCAGGAACACGAAGAAAGCATGACAAGCCAAGCATGATTTCACGAAAACGGACCGAATACCCACACACAGCAGTAGCGGCAGCAGCCGCAGCCGCAGCCGCAGCAGCAGATCGCTGTGCCGTACAGTTTGAAAGGTGTTCTGCAGCATCATCTCGGGGGTCCTGCATGCTGAAAAAAGTACCCCCTGTTCTGTATATCTGCAGGGCACCCTGCTAACATTTTGTGTCTTTCAACCGGGGTCGACTACTGTTCCCCCGCCCCTTTCAAAAAAAATTACCGGGTCGCAACTCGGAACTCGAAAACTTTCCACGTCAATGCTGTCAAAAGCCGGGGGGGACGGGTACAAGCTACTGTATGTCGTACTTCAGGCGGTCGGGACGGCAATAAATAGATGAGTCTAACCTCAGCAACCTTACCAATGTACTTGAGGCCGGAGACATGGCTCGTCCACAGGTCGCAGTTCACGTAGAGGATAGGGATAGTGGCGTTGCGCAGAGTCTTCTGCATGGACGCGTTGAACTCCCGGGTCGTAACATGATACATCTTCGCGATCACCTTCTTCACCTGCAACGTGTACGCCAAGTATGTAGAATGGACGAACAAGTGAATATTTGGTTGGTCCATCTCCACGGTGAGGAACATCATGGCCGAATAATAGAACCTAAAGGACTAGAGTGCTAGTGTTCAAGACAAGCATTATATTCCATCCAACGGTCATCGGTACGTTACGCTTGCCCCCGTCGAAGCTTTTCAACTCATAGACTACACTTTGGGGCAAAAAGTAGGTTGGGGTGGACGCTGATGAGCACATTCTAATTTCCTATACTAAGTCAAAGGCCACGGCAATCGCCAGTCGATGGGTTAGGGGAACAAAAAACGAGCGTGGTTGAGATTCAAAGGTCTATTGCCAAGGGGAATAAATAGGCATTGTGGATGAACGAGAACGCCGTTGTAGCCATGAAGGGATCAATCTATGTAATATCTATCGACAGACAGCCTGCACAGTCTATTGTTGTCGACGACAGATTTCAGAAGACCGCCGGGTAACTCAGTGTTGCGTAACAATGTCTATCGAACACGGCCGGCCAATTCTGTTGTTTTCAACAACGTCTATCTACATCTTCGCAGCCGAATATTTTGTCACCAACAATGTCTGTTAGAAGAGAGCCATGAAATATGGCGTAGCGAACGGCATCTATTGGAAGATGGCGGACGAAAAGTGCTATTGCCAACAATGTACATGTCATATGACAAGTCCTTATCTATGGTTGCCAACAATGCCTATCGGAACTATTCCTGCAGAAGATGCTGTTCCCAACAATGCCTATTGAAAGAAATCATTTCAACTTTATTGTAGCGACAAAGTCTATGGGAAGATTCATCGGAATTCTATTGTTGCCAGCGGCATCATACGATAGACAGCCCGGGGACGCTCTTGAAGCTAGCAATTTCTATTGCTACCCACATTTTCGGGGTTCCTGTAACGGCAATGTTCTATTGGTGGTCTATTGTCCAAGGATAAGCAAAGCTTACTGGCACCCGTCGCGCACCCATCCAAAACAGGTGCACACAACGAGTAAACACCCACCACGCGACACGCCTACTACGAAGTGCGTATACAAGCCCCCACATCATGTGCTCACCGCCTTATTGTTGATACCGGTGACGTCGAAGTCCTTGTTCAGGAGTGAGTACAACCGGCGTACGGATGCGCGCTCAGCCCGGTTGAAAGGTTCAGCCGAATCAATGGGGTACGCCTTGACGTACTCCTGGACGATGAAGCCCTGCGGATCGGTCCGAAACAGCTTGCTGTTTCGGGCAGCTTCAAGCTCGTCGTAGGTCTCGACTGCCCTAAGAACCACCACACACACCGGAAAAAAGAAATGGACAAGTGCGCCAACGGTCACAAACATAAATCAAACCGACGTACACGAATTCACATTGGCAACACGAAGATGCCAGTCAAGATGCAAACTAGCACACTAGGGCAAGAAGAGGAGCCTATTTCACTGCTGTTGGTCCATGCACCACTGGTTGGTACTCCGCAAACAACACAACGCAGCGCCATTTCATCCTACAAACTATCGACGAACAGAGAAGAAAAGCTCACGTAAAAAAGAAAAAAACGTATTCCATCCAACAGGCAACGGGTAAAAGACGCTCGTTGAGCCCATCACCATATGTGCCTGTGTCCATGAGGTTTCAGCAGCAGTAGATCACACTCACTTTGCTTCGGCAGTCTTCGTCTTGCCGCTCTTGATACCGTGGGTCTGAGCCAAATGATTCGTGGCGCTTGATGTCTGCTTGTTGTTGATTTTGAGGGTCTTGGACATGTTGCGGCAGTGATCATCGGCCATGCACATGAAGAGCTGGGGCCTCTCCAGCGGTTTTCCCTTGTTGTCCGTGGGCCAATCTTCCTTGGCTACCGTTTCCAACCTCACACCCCAGTGGTTGATGACGCTGGTGTTACGGGGGTGAACCCTTGCTCGGAAATGGCCGTCCTTCGGGGTGTAGTTGTTGATGGCGGTTTGAACGGCACTGGGCACATCCTCCGGAAAATCTATTGTGCTTGCTGTCCTAGGACTACCGCTGCTGCCACCGCTGCCGCTGCCCCTGCCGCTGCCGCTACTCCGAACCTCGAATATCGGCGCGAGTTGTGGTTCTGGAGGAGCACCATCAGCACTATTCTGCTGACCACCGTTTTCGCTCACGAGCGCCAAAGAAAAGTGGTGGTGGTGGTGGTAGAAGAAAATGGCGTGTGTGTGGCCGTGGCCCCACTCATCACAGCAGTTTTCTCCGCTCGGTGGTGTGTGGATTTGATTTTGTAGAACTAGAACACAAATCAATGTGCCTGTGCTTTGGTCCGCCGTCAACTGATTCAAAAACTATGTTGCTGCGGAGGGTCTTTGGTGGCCCCTTCATCCGCATGCGCGTGCACATGCACATGTGATAATTAAATTTTCACACTTTTTCGGTCTCGGAAAATGCCCCGGCCTTTCGAAAATGCCCCGGCCTCTTGAAAAAGCACACCGGGTATATGAAATGAACAACGGATTCTCTGGACCGAGAACAGAGCCGGAGTGTTTTGCTGCCCGCAGCAATGGCCATTGCTTCGGACCATAGAATGTCACCACTGCTGGTCGATAGGCATTGCCTGGAGTAAGAGATTCGCGGATGATCTTTGCATAGGCATTGTATGCAGCAGTAGACTTATTACCCGTCTCTTGATAGACATTGTCATCCGCAATAGACTTCGCACATCACCTATCCATAGACGTTACTGGCAAGAATAGATTGGCCATCTGTCTGCCGATGGACATTGTTGAAAGTAATAGACCATACACACTTGCCATCGATAGACATTGTAGGTTGAAATAGAGAACATCCCTTGCCTGTCGACGTACGTTGCTTACCGCAATGGAGACACAGAATTGACATCACAAACAAACCATGATGGACACAGTAGATTCCTTGCCCCCTATGTCAATAGACACTGCAGGCTGCAATAGATGATACCCACTGTCTGCCGCTACGCTTGGTCTCTGGCAATGTGTGCGAAACTCAACTATCAATATCTATTACCGACGGCAATAGAGTCGTCTATTTAATAGAATTCTATTGCAATAGCAATAGACGTGGTCTATTGTCCAGGGTGTGGCGTCCTGTGTGCTCTGTACACGTCGTGTTGTTGAAATTCCCAAAAAAATGAGACGTTGTACGTTTCAGAAGAAATTCTCACTTTCGTTCCATGATCTCGGAATACATGCCAATGAAACACAAACCACAGCGCGGAATACATGCTGAAACACAAACCACAGCCAGCCGCGCCTTGCTATTATTGCCATCAGTTCAGTTGCTCAATCAAACCCAATGTACTTATTATAACAATACACACCTTCTTGCCGTACACGAGAGAGAACACATCTACAATCCATTGCAGTTGTACAGCAGGGAAAAAATTCCAGTAGTGAGGGTCATTATAGACTATTGTGCATGACGAATACATAAAATTTAAAAAAACGCTCCACAATTAGATGGCTGATTCTTTTTTTAAGCGACACAGTCCCGAGCGGAGGGGTCCGAGGCACAGAGAAAAGTGCGAGCTCGCCGTTTTGGGCCGTCGCGCCGGCGCGGACAGCTCGGCCGTCGCTGGTCGCCCGGAGCCCCGAGCGGCGGCGTCTCGCTGAGAGAGGGCGTCCGGAGGGCTCCGCGGAGCGGGAGGGCGAGCGGCGGCCCGTGCGTCTCAGGCCGAAATCGTCTCGAGTTGAGGGTTGCGATAATTACCCCGCTGCTCGCTGAGGGGCCGAGCGGAGGCTTGAGCTAAAAATACCTACCTCTATGCATGCATATATGTTGCCGTATTCCGTTGAATCATATTATCTACTACATGTGATGTACATACAATCACAGAAAGTCGTCGTCAGTGTGAACCTTTGGGTCAGACCACTACTCCGTCGAAAATCGAAAATCGAAAATGGAAAATCGAAAATCGAAAATGTCACTGATTGAACAGAGCTCCAGTGTTCCGCCGCCGGATTTTCGATCTAGGGGTAAATGTTCCGAATATTCTCCGATAGGGAAGAACCGAAAGCGAGCACGAACAGACTCAAAATCAAAAATCGAAAATGACAACCGAAACATCAAGCTGGCTGTCACACCCTCACAGAGTCGTACATGCCTCCACATCGATACTTGTCTAGCTAGGTGGCTGCTTGGCGATGCAAGCAAGAGCTTGACAGAAAGCTGACATCCAGCAGGGCACGGTGCACTTTTCTTTGGGCGAGATCTGCTCTAAGTTGAGAGAAAGAGAGTCATCACCGTGAAATTATTACTTGTAAAATAAATGCAGTTCAACAGCAGCCTATTTGGCTTTCCTACATCAGCACGCAGCATTCAATCACACATTGGTCGCTGAGTTCGCAGCGTATCGATGTGAGACAAAGACCCCCCAACCCGCCTGATTATGGCCGTTGTTCGGAGCTATCGTTCGCTGTCTTGGATGCGGTGTGGCTCTCATGGTCGGTCATAGTTTCAATGATCGCAACTGGCATGTATGGGCCTTGTTCGCCTCCTGGTTGATTTTCGATTTCGATTCAGCATTTGTTTGACAAGGTCCACCCTGGGAATCAGACTACATCTTAGCGTACACCGACAATGGGATGCTAATTTTCCTTTTGCGGGCCACACTTGGCCACACGTATGCGTCGAGAAATACCACTTTAGCGTTGCGACTCACGCACACCGTGCAGCAGCGACGACGTGTACCGAACCTTTACGTGCCATCGTCACACGCAACCACGACTGACTGTAATTTTCCCCTTACCACGTTTGCTTTTGGTGTTGTTTTTATGTTGTAGCGACCACGTGTTGCGTGCAGCAGCTATGTATCACGAACGAACGTGTATTTCGTATTTCGTTAATACGTCATGTCGCTGTGCAACTCGACTACGTCACGCTTGCTTCCTGTCAAACTCCTAACAGCTACTGCTGTACGATCAACTGTCCGGCAAAAACGCGCAGTTTGGAATTCGGCGTACCGGTGTTGCCGGCGGCTTCGACCGCTCACACATTTGCTTGTGGTGTTGTTTTGATGTTGTGGTGTCGTGGCGCCCGCTTTTCCAGCACCGCAGCCACACGTCACGTAGCTGGTCGGCAGTGCATCCATCCCCGTGCAATCGAAGGTGTGTTGCACCCCTCCCTGTATTTACTGGTAGGCCGGTTCAACTTTCAGTACAGCAGGCGAAATTTACTGGTGCGGAAATCTAGATTGACAGCAGTGTCTAGCAGTACTGTGCTGTAGCACGGCATTAAACTCGCGGCGGGCACGGCTTGGACTCTCTTCCATAATGTCGTATTTTTTTAATTTTCGTTTCTCCTCTGTGATGTGCACTCGATCACAATTTTTTCGAGGACTGTACTACTGCTGTACGGAAGGCCTTCTTGCGTGCAATCGGCTCGTGTTTTTGTTTGTGCTCTTTAGTGCTGCCGGAATGCGAGTGCCAGACTTGTTGATTCCCTAGCTCCATCGTAGCAGCAGTGGTTTGTTTTGTTTTGTTTTTTGCGTTGACATGCCCTTGTACTGCTCCTCGCACGGCAGTCGTATGCATACCACAGCTTTATTGTTCTCTTCTCTTTCGCGTTTATTATTATTTTCTTAAGCCCGAGGGAAGAGTTACCAAACTGGTAGAGAGGACGTGTGTTTCCCGACGACACCTTTTTGCGGCCTTTCTTTTCATGCTTCTGCCTTTCTCCCAACAAAATCTGTCCCTCTCTCTCCCCTCCAAACAGCAACCGAGGGTGCTCTTTCATGCGGTGGAGGGAACCAATCTTACTGCGCACAGTATAGTCTCACATGACCAACTCCCAATTTCTTCGCCAAATTTGAGGTCACCATGACACTACTCAATGGGATTAGCTCCTGCTCTTGACTACCCCCACACCGTACCTTCCCCCGATTGCCCCCCGACTTGCTATTTCGTACCGTGCTGGACACCATTGTACACGGCTCCTTCTCATTCGTCTAGCTTCTTCTTCCTGCCCTCCGGGATACTTGCTCGATTTGTTGCCCCCAACCGCCATATGCCAGTGCCCCAACCTTTAGCAAGTGCAGCACGCATTGGTTTCTGGGATTCACGGCTATTTCTCCACTGTTTGCCTCGAAGCTCCGTGAGCTTGGTCATATTTCAGAGCTTGCACTACCCAACCTTTAACATATAATAGTTATTCGTCAACCCTAGGTGGTATGCCCTTGTTGTCTTTGTAGTGACTGTAGTGCTTGATGTTTTAAAACTTGTTATCACTCACACCCGATTGGAAGGAAAAAGAGCAGGGAGTGCCACGAGCACCACAGCTGACGCGGGGGCTCCGCACACCCATTCTCTGGCCGTACCACCCAACGCATACCTCTGTGCAGGGCACCTGAAACAGCCATCTCGTCTACAAATCCGACTACACACGCACTCACACCAACAGAAGTTGTCAGGGATAGTTGTTACGTGTCCTTGTAGACGGAAGCCAAGTTTTATCCCTTCTGTGTTCGCTGCAGGCAACATAGACGAAAGTCGTCGTACCCAAGCTATGACGACAAGATTGTGTGTGCACGCTAGGTCTGTAGGGTGCTGCAGAATGGTACCGGTGTCAGCAGCCAGCAGTCGCTAACGTTGTGCAGTTATAGTAGAGCAGATACCACATGCTGTGTGAACCAGACCTCGGCCATAAAACACCATTGATGTGTTTAGTCAGTGAATCACGTGCAACATGGTGCATATGGACGCTGGTAGGCAACACTGATGAAAAACCAATCTACCAACCACGGCCGCCACACCTTATTCATGTGTGTGGTTCCTGCATTTACACTCTATAT